AGGTTTTCACATAAAATTATGCCATGTCATCATGCTACATCATCGAAAAATCATCCACATTAGATAAATAACGACATGTAACACCATGTCATTATTTGGATGTCACGTATTACACTTTTTAATAGTTGTTAACGGTGACATGACAATCTGTTAAAATATTGAGTTTTTCACGAGTTTTGAAAAGTAAAGAGTATTGATTGAGAGGAAAATATTTGGAAAGTGTTGATTGTGAAAAAGAAATAATTGGAGGGTGCAAATAGGGGCTTTAGCCAAAAATCTTATATCTATATTCTATAACCCAATGCTTGGTCATCTTATTAAGCCTGGGGTGATGGTAAATAAATAAGACATAGATGACACTGGAGTTCATCATAGACCAGCAAATAAATGAAATGTTTTAGAATCTACTGCAATGAGCCTCAAAGCTGAAACAGTTGCTGCAACAGACACGAGTCCAAAGAAACAGACATTAAGCCAATGCCAGAGCTTTTGAAATGAAGTCAATTTGTTCCTCTTTGCCACAAGGTACATGTGGTTCGCAAGGATGAATGTAAGAGGAATTGCGCTTAGAGCCCCTGTTAGGCTCTCAAAATCTCCAAGGAATGGCAAAAGAGCAGCCACCAGGGTGCTGATGATAAGATAGCCTCCTCTTGCTGCTAATCTGAAGGACAAATTTCCAATTGCTAATGCACTTCCTGTAATCCCAAACTTGGTGTCCAAATACTCATATGTTGGACTAGCAAATATCTGGAAGTAGTAGAGGAATTTTGGTCAGAAACTGATTATTAGGTTGAAGAAGGATTGATGAGAGCATAGAAATGCTGATCAAAAGAAAAATGAGACTATAGTGATAAATTAAGATACTTACATGTAAAGCAATGACTGATTGAAGGAAGGCAGAAATGTTGGCAAACGTTTTCACCCAGACTGGACCTTTTACATCACTGAGCAAATAGGTTGATGTTGAAGATCCATAAGCCCAGTATCCAATGAACGTAACAGCATACAATGGTAAAACACCAACAGTAAACTGGAAGCATAAACCTTTTAGCATGTTTTTCACCGCAGGCTCCCTCACTGTTGCCTATAGAATTGCAGTAAGTTAAAGTCTCAAAAGGTAGAAACAAGACTAGCTGAAATTGAGAACCTCAAGTCATCTAAAAGGTACTTCAACCTTCTAAATTATGCAACCTCAGTTATCAATACAAATAAAACACCATGCTTGTGTTCAGTGAGAACTCAAGAGAGGGAATTCCCAACACACCTGTATTTCTGGAAGCATTCCTGTATTGAACGCAAAGACAAGATTTGCAGTTGCCCCTATACTCGTAAAAATTCTGCTCCCACTCGACCCTGTAATACTATAATCTCTTGGTGGTGCATTGATTCCTATAACGGAATGAAGATTGTTATTGCCATTTTCAATACATAAAAAATTTAAGAACAACATAACCAAACCAAGAAAATATCATTAGGTTACCAACTTCCAATTAAACCCAGACTTTGTATAAATGAGAACAAGAACTAGGAACCAGTGAATCAATGTTTTCCAAGGTATGTGTCCCCATCAGTCAAGTAAGCTAAGCAATGCGTAAACAGTTCCTTAGATATCATTCAAAATCAGGGCAGTTACACATCTACATGGCAAATGAACAGGTCAGACATATTACATGTTTTAGCTGCTTCTAAATGACGCAAGCTGTCAAACTTTGAGAACAAAAACACAAAAGGCATGAGCTAAAACTAAAAGAATTTAACGCTCATAAATTTAGGTATGTTTCCCCAACACTTAAGTAAGCTAAACAAGGCCTTATTGAATGATTAGCACCAAAAACCTGGATGGTTTCACATAATATATATTTTTCTCTGCTTTAAATCATGCGTGTTTTCAAATTTTGAGCATGAAAAAATAGAAAGATTAGATCAAATCGAATATTAATAATCATATATTTAGTATGTGTGCATAGCAGTCCAATGAGCTGGGCAATGGCCTAATTGTCTCCCTAGAGAGAGCCTAAATTTCACATAAAAAGAGAAATATAGACATGATATTTGTTTTTGTTACTTTTAAATCCTGTGTCCTATCCAAACTTGAGAACAAAAACACAAAAATGATATGAGCAAAAGGAATTTTTAAAATCAAGAGTTAACAAGCTTTATCAACTACTTCCTTAGGTGCAAACTTGGCAATACTTTTGTTGTAGATGGTAGTTTGTTCTAGAACATGTTTTGAAATGGGACGTTCAGCAATATTAAGAGAGGCCCTTGAAGAATATAGCATTGTTGCAAAGAATTCCTTGTTTGTTGAAACATGGAATGACATGAAAAAGAACACTAGAAATTACCATCTTTAGCTGAGAGCACACAAGCCACAACAACATACACCAGGGTCAACATAGCTGAAAATCCTAGCCATATCCTTAGAGCTGACAGATGAGGTGTTGCTATGGCAAATACAGCACATACAAAACCAGCTATGGCAATAAAGTGTGGAAGCTTCATGGCATGGTTATCCCTGAAAAGGACATAAACAGCCTGCGTGGCAAGTTTGTATGTTAAACAACTTAAAAAAAAATTCAAGGGATTTCAAGCATCACATCAATGAACTTTACATGGCTTACTTAGTAGAGTTTCGACTGATGAAGCGTCAAAAGTGATTTACAAAGAATAATCCAGTAGCAAATCTTATGTAAAATCATCCCTCTCATTATGATGTCAAAATGCATAAACCAATAGGGACATTAAATTTTCCAGGAACATCATAACAAATAGTTAAAGGAGACATCTTTGCTCAGCTTCTAATTAAATACCGATGTGGCAGGTAAATAAAAGACTGTTCTGGTCGATTTGATCTTACCTTTAGGGAAGAACCAGACAAAATGAGGTATCCGATGTTAATCATGAAAAGATTGACGTATTGCAATGCCCATGTTGTTGAATAAGCTTTCTTACCTGTCAAAAGGAACAAGGCCAAACCATAAAGAAATCAAATTAAAGGATTAGCATCTATCGACTAGTTACATCTACAGTTCATTTAGTCATACCATATATATATCCTGCAAGATCTCTGTATCTGATATGCCTCTTTCCCTCAAATTCATGGAGCTTTGCAACAAGAGAATTTGCATACCATGATATCCCCGTTGCTAAAATTAAGCCAACTACACCTCCAATCCAACCAAGAGGGACCATGATTGTCGCAGAATATCCCAGCACAAAGACGCTGTTGACTCCAGTGGTTAAGACAAACCCAGCCTGCAACCATGAATCTTTAGAATTCCAAAATTAGTCCAAAAGGTAACACCATAAAGCTACAAAAACTGAAAAAGCTGAAAAAGGGTATTAACCAATTCCATTTCTTATATTCCATATTATCAAAATTAACCCAAATTATGTTTTTACACAATCAAATTCTTAAGAAAATGAAATCCCAACAAGAAAAAAGACTCAATCTTTGAAAAGGAAATGTGAAAAGTACCGGTGCTAATCTGATGGGCAGTTTCGGGAACATCATCAGACAACCTTTCCTCATCGCGCATCATCCGGGGACGTCCGTCGGCGTCTCCAGCTCCTTGCATGGTAATTACCTCTCTGTTCTCTTCTGCTCCTCCCCAGAGCCACACTGCCGCCTCTCCTCCTTCTCCGTCTTGTTCTATTATACCAATCACAGCCAGCTTACCCTACCAAAACTCTCAATCCAATTAAATGTTGAGACTGAATTCCAACTATGGAAACCAAATCATTTCAATTCCTTCCGAATCTGGATTCCCTCGTCCTATTTATGAAAAAAATGGCGCGTTTCAACAGGTCATTGGCACTTTGCTACAATCCTGTGGGGTAGTGTCATGAAAATATCATGGGGATGCGTCTTATATTATTCACTGACCGTTCGATAAATTTTGTCGGCTGTATCAAGCCATTAGGACCGTTAAAAATTCGTGATGTGGGAATTGACGGCTATTTTTTATTGCAGAAGTTTACTGCCACACCATTTCAGCGTCACGTCTATTTTTATTTCCAATATTATCACGGCTATTTAGGATTTTTTTTTTTTTCAAAATTAGGGAATTTTTGGGATGGAAAGTAGTACTCGGATCATGCAAAACTTACACGTCTTAATACTTTTCATCAAGGGAGTAACTACTAGATCAGTTAAATTATTTAAAAAGATTTTTACTTGCTTTCAAGCAGTAAAATTAGTTCACTTAGGTGTCTAACTTGACGTCTGATCTCATAAATAATCCATTAAAAATAAATAAAAATACTTAATGGACAATTTGAAAAAAAAAAAAGAAGGTGAAGATGATTCTTTGTGTTCTCCTTATTCATGTTACAATATATTAAGGGCGAGTCTTGATATTAAAGATATTCTTTTGATTGGTAAAGACCATAAATTTAGAATTTTGAAATTTTTTTTATTTTTGTTCACAAGTCTTTTGTATAGTTAGCAGAAATTTCTATCATCAAATTTGAGTTAAATTATTGAGAATGGGAATATTATTTAAAGAAAAGTGTTTGTGAGTTAAATTTTTAGAAAAAATAAGAGGAAAAAACCCTAGGTATCTTAATTTTTTTAATCAATTCCATCACCTTATTCTTTTTTCTTTTTTTTTGATAAGGTATCACCTTATTCTTACCACAAAGGAAAAAAGGCAAAATATTACATTAAACACCGAACTTACTCTAGATTCTCATTTAAATCCGTAGACTTTATTGAAGCAAATAAGTCATTGGACTTGTCTTATCAATATGGCTAATTTAATTATTTTTTTATGACAAATTTAACACTCATTTATACTTTGTTTGTATGGACAATGTCAATACTCATGACATAAATAATAACATGTTAATACATTGTCCAGGCAAACAATGCATAAACAGGTGTTAAATTTGTAGTTAAAAAAAGATTAAATTGTGCAAATCAACAAATTTAAAAGCTTAATTGCTCTAATAAAAGTTTAAGGATTTAATTAGGACTCTATTGATAAATTAGGGGCTTAATGTAAGGTTTTACACAAAAAAATAACCCATGTTTCAATAAATTTTTATTAAAAAACTAAAATAACTTATTCTGGAACCATAAATAAGTTTGTTTAAATTTTTTTGTGATATTTTAATAAAATGACATGATTTTTGTATGTGTTTTTCTTTTTAATTTTTTTTTGAAA